ACAGAATGACACATGGAACCTGAACTAAACTAAATGTGAGATACAACCGAGAACAAATCCTTAACATGAATAAACAGAAACATAGAATTATAATAATAATAATAATAATAATCCTCATAGCGCCCAAAACCACGACAATTATTCAAAAATAAACTAACAATCAAAACTCAAAATACTGGGTCGAAACTGACCCAGAACCGTGACATTTTTAATCATTTCTTCATTTTGAAAACAATTGATCAGTGTGACCAGGTTGTAGCATTGCTTTCAGTATGAAGAGGCTGGATGGTATGCAGATACCTGCAGTGTTTGGTTCTGTAAGAACAATGAAAAGTAAAGTAGTGAGAATGAACTGCATAGCTTTCAGAGAGGACTTTGAACTATGAGTTTATTAATAGCTATAACTGAGTAAACCATTAAGAGGAAGCTGGCGTATAAACAGACAAAACAGTAAAACATTGGGGCAGTAATGTAGAACAGTGTATGTCTCTATAGAAGATTATAAACAATATACCGAAGCACTGTCCTATAAATTAATACAGTGCATAAATGTTAACTGAAAGATTTGTTCGGTTATAATTTATTAAATATTTACCAAAATCTGTGTTTTATATGCAAGCTTGGTACCTCTACCCCAGAGGCCTGGGAGACTGAGGGACTGATTTAATTTTAAAAACATCAGTGAAAACCTTACAGAGATGCTTCATGGAATATTACATTAAAAAACAAGGACTTGTCAAACTGAAATGAAGGTTAGCTTAATGTTAAGTAACACATCCCATTTTCTCTTTTCACACTGATTAAATCAAGTTGGCACATTTCCATAAACACTGAACATTTGGGTGTAGCACTGCCTTCAACTTTTATCAGTCATCATTAACCAACATAAAATTTAGATTTTGTTCCAAAAAAGGCTTTTAGTATTTGTATAGTAGTTTAAAAATATGAACAGCTCCCTCATTTAATGTGATTACACAATGAAATACACAATGCCCTTGTAAAGATATTTACCAGTGAAAGAGAGAGAGAGGAATTGGTAAATTCTTAAAGTTACAGATTTAGGGGCCTTCACCCAGGTCAACAATTGAATGACTCTATAAAATATATTATGTCTTTGGATGTGCTAGTGAAGCTCTGAGGTGTGCTGGATTTGTCAATAGAAACAAGTCATCTGACTGGCAGAGAGAATGTCGAGACCTCAGGAGGACAGTTCATCCTCAAAATTTAATCTTATTCAGCTCATTTTAGAACTGAAGAAGCTTCTCGGATGAGAGGTGAAATGTCTTCATGAAAAAAGTCCACGCGCTCTTTGGAACAGACAGCTTATTGTAAGTATCTTCTAAACAGCTTTGCACTGATAAATGTTTCTGTAGATTAATGTAGAAATACATTAAAGCATCATAGTCAAGGGAACAGAGGAAAGCACTGCCCTCTGCTGGGAGCAAGTGAAAACACTTTTACTGACGGTTGGATCAACATCCTGAGTTTGGTGCCAAACGCATCATTAAATAGGGAACAAGATCATTGAGTGAGGGCACACTGACAACAACCACCTAGCATTATATTTTCTGCTTTCAATCGGTTGCACAGCACAGCTGTCTTCATGATGCTAATATGTACTCATATAGAGATAACAGCTTTATTTTATAGTATAAAAAATTAAATCATCACTGTTTAAGACAATATTAACATTTTAATGAGCAGAATAAAGTATAGGGTGAAGATAAGTCAGAGTGTAATATCTCCATATGAGGCTCTCAGTAAGCTAATATGCCTACTAGACATATTCATATACATGAATGCATTTTAAGGACATGAATAAAGAATAAACCATACAGTGAAACAGTGATCCTCTTTAGAAATGTTTAATTTTACAGGACAGAACGATTATATTAAAAATTAAAAATAACAGCTGCTGTTGTGAAGCAGAGGCTCCTCTGGTGGGCTTTGGAGGTGACGAGGACATTCAACTTGTTCCTGACCAGGAGTGGGCATTCCACCCTTTTCCTGCTGAGGACCACTCGGGGTTACACCTCAGACCATCAAATATATGAATGTTATTAGATGGATTTTAATTGTGTTCTTATGTAACTGCCATAAATTTTCAACAATGGCTTTAAAAAGAGTTAAAGAGGATGACACACACATCTTCTTGATAAAAGAGTGAATCAAATCCACCATTAAAAGTACAACCAGTAGTTGATATCAGTCACATGCATATCTGGCAAGACACTTTGCTGTGTCGACACAACTCACTGCTGATTAATTCTTAATCACTGAATTCCAGTTCAAACTTTTATCAGTGACAAAAGTGAATCGAAAATAAAAGTAAAGTAATCTCTGGTGTAACCTTTAATTTGATGATACACAAGATCGTAATATGCTGACTTTCTATAAGAAATCAAGGAATGTGCCCAAGTCTAGTCAATTCTATAGTGCTGCATAATCAATGATCAGTCATTTAAAATAATTATCATACATGATTAGATTTAAAGGCTATTTGTGTGCCTTGAAACTTCTTTGTGCTTTGCTCTTTTTAAGATTTAACAGTCAGCTGCACTTGAAAGATTTTAAGTGTGACATACAGAAAATGGGATGAATCTTCATGGAAACAGGAAGTTTATGGTGACATAGTGCACTTTCTAAACATAAGATGTAGTAAATATCCTCACTCGTCCAAAAGAAATGAAGCCCACGTTCAGCACTGGTTAGTACATTATGTTAATGTTAAAATTGTGCACCTAACAGTGCATCCACCAACTCTTCATACACCACTGACAGTTACATTGTGAGTTTGAGTTTCTTCTTCGTGTTTCTTTGATCAACTTTTTATTATCTTTGATTATCATTTATATCTGCACCTGTTATTCTGTCATGGTCGTGTGGTCCAGTTTTGACAAAAATCAAGTAAAGTAAGCACAGCATAGGCTATTTTCATGGTCCAAGGATCCTTCTTCTGTGCTGTATAATTATAATAAAAAATACAATGATTAAAGATGATCCACTGTGGGTACAGCACAGTGCAGCGGTCCCTGTTCTACAGGTACTCTGCTTCTGGTTCTGCAGGTCTAAACACATGTTTGTTGGGTTTGGTGATTTTAAATTGGTTGTAGGTGTGAATATGAGTGTGAAGGGTTTTTTCCTCTTTATGTCACTCCTTTTATGGACTGGAAACCTGTGAAGGGTGTACATTGATTTACAGAATCACATTGATTTATTTATAGTCTTTCCCTTTTTTTGTCTTTGCCCATGAAAACTGGACAAGTTTCTTAGCAAAATCAAATTCAGTTCATAGAAGTTTTCTGTGCTGCCTACAAATTCCAGCGTCCCTAACCATCCATATTTAATTTTTTCACAGGGTCTTGCTTGGATTTTCTTTCACACATCAGTTATCCTGATGCTTCTTGACAAGAAGTTTGAGCCAGCGCCCATATTTGTAATGCTTACTGTACACATGTGGTTTACATTAAAATAAAAATGTCACCATACTGTTTAGTAATACTGCGATTATTTCTTTGTAAATCTATTTTATGAGTACTGGTTTACTGGATTTCACCATATTGTTCAAAATGCACTTTACTAGTCCACTCAGAAATTAGTTTAAGATGATTAAAAATTCAAGTTATTACAAATGTTCAGATTTTCTTTCCTTCTGCAAATGTGTTCTCCTGATTTTTTTATTGTTTTTTTCAGATTGCTTCGTGATTTCTGGAATTTTAATTGTTTAGCTGATAAAACTGCAGTTTGAACAGTAATCTGATATAACTGTTGATGAATGTAATTGTCAAAAGCTGTAACTGGAGGTAGGCTGTAACAGGCAACGTGGTAAAAAGTGTTCAGGTAAAAATTGTAAATCAGTGTATATTATAAATAAACAATATACTGTATATAAGCTGGGGTTATCTAATATTTTCCATTGGATAATAAAATTTTATATGAGATGATGTTGATGAAGTTTGTCACAGTGATGAAAGTTTGTTCCCAATCATGCATTTTTTTTATTTGAACACCCCCACCCCCCTCCCCGAAATTAGTCTAACATGTTTGCATTTATTCAAACACTTTTTAAAGGTTACACGTTTAATGCTTTTTTAACTCGACAAATACTATGCAATAGATGACATCCTGTGACATTCTGTGCAATAGTGTTTATGTGCAATAGGGTTCTATTTATTATTACTGAATGACTGTTCTACTTTTTTTTTTTACTTCTTTGATAATTATATTTAAACTTTCTTCTCTTGACACCGCAGGCACTGCACTTCATTTTTTAAATACTTGTTACAATGAGAATAAAGATATTCTGATTCTGAGTGTATACACCAGTGGTCCCCAAACTACGGCCCTCGGGCCGGATACGGCCCGCCTCCACATTTGACCTGGCCCCCTGAACAATATTAGAGATGCATTATTTTTTTCCCTCGCATTATTATTTTTTCAGTCTGGCCACGCGATCGACACTAATGCACCCATAGAACACTGGGGTGTAGTGGGCCTGCCCGACTGAATCTCTGGAAATGTTTCCTCATGTCAATAAAGCTCATTTGATTCGAAAAATACTTAATAACAATAGTGTTATTAAGTATTTCCTAAGTTAATTTTTTCTATTAAGAACCCAGAGAGGGTTATTTGATCTCGGAAAGGGTTATTAATATTTGGTTATGTGTGGCTTTCTGGAAAACAATAAATGTTTACATTTCGGCAAACCTGTGATCGTCACACTTTTTCTGTTACAAACTGACCCTGGCCCCCCATCAGAGAAGGGAAAAGTTATGTGACCCTCACTAGAAAAAGTTTGGGGACCCCTGGTATACACAGTTGAATAGTGGAATTGTAAAGTGCTTTGAGGGTCTCGAAAAGCGCTATATAAATGCAATCCATTATTATTATTATAAAGAAAAAACATATTATAAACAACTGTTTATTTTATATACCACCTACATTTTATATAGGTGTTGTACTGTATTATATACAGATATTTGTGTTATAGTAGCATGTACATATGTAAAATTGTATTACAGATATTTTAGCTCATGGATTTTGGTGCTTTTTCACAAATCCATTTCATTTGGGTGTCACATCTAACATCGTTCCAGCTCTTGAAGAAGTTTGCTTTAGGATACAACGCTGCACAGTCCTCATTGCTGACATCATTTGGCTCTCCATCGTTCCAGTACCTGAAGCAAATGTCAGGTTACTCTACAGGGATAGTATTTGCTTTTATTCAACCCACATTCCTCATCTTTTATTGACATTCATGTTAATTCATAATGACAAGAATCATGTTAATAAGACACCATTTTCTAAATATACAACACACCGCTGATTTACCCAAGATTCACAGTGTGCAACATATTTCACTCTTACCCCTCAGTAAGGAATGTGCCATCCCACCATTTCCAAGTGCCATCCTCTTGGACATCACTCAGTCCAATCCAGAAAGCCTTTGGGGATTTTGGATTTGACTGAGGCATCATCCCAGAGGCATCTTCATAATAATCTGAGTAGTCGTGTATCATGGAGTGGTCTATATAACTCATGTAATGTTGAAAGGTGGGTTGGTCACTGAATAGGTCGCCAGTCTGTAGCGGGGCATCTTGATGATTCATCAGGTAATTTACTGTCAAGTTCTAACAATTAAATTAATCAATAAATAGACAAATATCTGCATGAAAACTGCTGCACAGAAATATTAACAAACCTCTTCGTCTTGGCTGTCTATGATTATAAGATCTCCTCCCTGCAGCTGACAGAAATCTCTGGATTCCTTCCATGTTTTGATTTCATTTGATTTCAAGGGGAAGTAGTAACATACAGAGTTCATTAAAATCCATCCTGCAGGACAGTGTTTGCAGCCATCGCCTGTTTCCAAAAGAAAATACCACCATTATTGAAAAGTATAATGACTATTCTTACAATTTTATGGAATATAAAAATAGTAAAACAGGCCTTACTAAGCATTGGTAAGTATGATCTCATGGTTTCAATTTCCTTTGTGATTTTATCAATATGACTTTTATAGTCATTGCTTCTTTTTGTCTGGTGTTCAAGTTCCCAGCTGGTTAGTTTCTGATGGCTTATATTACTGTTCAGCCTCTTCTTGGTACTTCTAATTCTCTCTACTGCAGACTTGTAAGTATCCTGGAGGTCGATGAGCTCTTTACTGATGCGTTCAGTATCATCAAGTGTGAAATAAGTATCTGTGAGCTTGTCGTCTGCAAGTGTTTCAGACAATTTTAGACAAAAACCACGTACACATTTTGGTGCATTGTGTTCTAAGACAATGGCTGGTAAACTCCAAAAAGAGCTCATTATTTCACAGGGAAATTTGTTTTGTGCACTAGACATATTCAATCCGACTTACAGTGAACTCCCAGGCCAATATTAAGTATCAGGAGAACAGCAGCAAGAAGTAACAGACTCACTGCAGTCAGTCTGTAATGTCTCACAGACCTCACACTGAACATGGACACTAAACAAAGAAAAAATGAACTGATTGTTACAACTTAATTGTTAGAACAGCATGAAACTATACAAACAGTAACTTGTGGCTTGTTTTATAAAGACGCAATGTAACTTAATGTGACTAAGTTAGATTTATATATGATCTATCAAATTATTCTTACTTGTTCTATGAGTGATGTTTCAAACATTTGAATAAAACAATCATTTGAATAATCAGAAACCTGGCTATGAAAGTACATTAACCTTTTAATACCTTGGTTCCTGATAGACTGAAGGTAAGTCGGATAATCTTCATCATGAAGATCTTCTTCACACGTGACTGTCTCAATTCCACTATGGAAATTACTATGTTGTTCTCTCTCCGCATCCATTTTCAGTGTTCGGTCGAAATCTGTCATTTGCTGGTGGTTAGAGCAGGAACCTAGCAGACTGCTACCCTATTTCAACACAGCCTGGTACTGCTGGCCTGTTCACTTCCAGTTAAGTTGTGAAAAAGAGAAGTGACTAAAAGGGAGGCAAATGTTTCATACATCTAGTTTTAACCATTAGTTTCCTGATAAGGAGGATATGAATATGCTGATCGCTCTAAAAATTGTTGAAACATGAACAAAGGCTATGCTGAGTAACAATGCAGTGATTCATAATATATCATTTTGATTAGTTTATTATGATAAAAGATTTGCAAACAATTTTTCTGGTGCAACATCTGAACACACATAACGAGTGCTGTGAAGTTTCAATTTCATAAATGAAATATTTGATTAAGATATTTTTTTGAACATTGCTTCTTTCCACCCATTTTTACCTCAGAGAAAAAGTTTGAGTAAAACCAATAACCAGATAAGGCAATGACTTATTATGAATATCCCAAAAAGCATGATAGATAAAGACCTGAAAATGCCATTGCCTGCTCTTAGCACGTGCAACGAATCATTTCTTTAATTTGGGATGCATATATCCCAAAATTTTCTAAATGGCAGCTAATTGGTAAATGGCCTGTATTTGTATAGTGCTTTACTTAGTCCCTAAGGACCCCAAAGCGCTTTACACTACATTCAGTCATCCACACATTCACACACTGGTGATGGCAAGCTACATTGTAACCACAGCTGCCCTGGGGCGCACTGACAGAGGTGAGGCTGCCAGACACTGGCGCCACCGGGCCCTCTGACCACCACCAGGTAACGGGTGAAGTGTCTTGCCCAAGGACACAGCGACTGAGACTGTCAGAGCCGGGGCTCAAACCGGCAACCTTCCGATAACAAGACAAACCTCCAACTCTTGAGCCACGATCACCCCATTTAAAATAAAATCAAATTGCCCGATCTTTGAGCACATGGTAATAAAACTTCATATTTTGAAAGACAATTGGTGATGCAAAATGCAAAATAAAACACCTAGAATATTTTTCAAAAATATGGTAAATATTAATATTAATCATTTTACTTGTTAGATTAAGCAAATATTACAAGTTGTATAATAAAAACAAAATATCTGTAGGTAGTGTAATCTGAGTTTCCAGATTGCACTCTAATTATAAACAGGAACATAATATGTGTACGTTTTTGTTTTCGATACTATTCTACCTATTTTGAGATTTACTGCCTTTTAGGAGTCTGATAACTCAGGTAAAAAAGATATTAAGAGGCACTGAAAACTCAGCAATTACTGACATAAAGTTTTTGTTAAGAGTAATCAAAATGTGATCATTTCACAGTGGTCTGATGCAAGATACTGACCTTAAACCCACAATCCTAACACCTAGACCAACCCTAACCCCAATGCCAAAAGTACTGGAGGCTGTAGTGATCATGCACTCAGTAAGCTGACCAAATTTATAGTGTATTTTCAAACCTGTAAAATGTTGTTGCTCATTGTTCATTTTCTTTGTGATCACATATTGTGAAATTCTACAGAAAAGGGAAACTGAACTTGTTTTTTGTCACATGGACTGTCATAGACGGAGTTAATCCCAAGAACTCCAACGGCTACCATCAGAATAGCAGTCAGCAAATAAATGGAAAGTGTTGAGGCACACTTTAAAAAAAACAAAAAACACTGTAATATTTCATCACAAGTAACACTATGGTTTATAAAACACGATTTTATAACCTTGAAATATATATTACAGTTGTTTGATAAGGCTGGAACTGATTCTTATATAGCACATTTCTACTCGTGCGCAGCACTCAAAGTGCTTTATATACACACCGCATTCACACAGGTACTTTCTTCTATGTTTTAAGTGCTTTCTATCATAAACATTCAAACTCCAGTTGATGCATCGCAGAGCAATTCGGGGTTAGTATGTTGCCCAAGGATATTTGGCATGCAGACTGGGGCAGTTAGGGATCAAACCACCAACCTTCTGATCAATAGATGACTTGCGGTACCTCCAGAGCTACAGCCACTCCAGCAGACTTGATTGCGTGGGTTGTGCCCAATAAAAACACCCGATTTGTCAATGCCAAACAACGAATTTTGCTATTGACCTTTGCTTTAAGCTTTTGGTACCCCATGTGCTGACAATCAGATGCTTGATTGGTGCCTGATTAGAAGTACCTCTGAGCATAGACCCTACTACTGCAGTCAGTTGGTAACTTATCCTAGTATTTCCTGCCTGACTGATCTGGATAGGGCCTGTGACCTATGGCAATTTTAGGTTGGTGTCCCACAAAACCAAGTTGTAGTATTATTTGGTGTGACCCATGTGCCATCTCCAAATTAAACGACGAGTTTAATTTAATTTTAACGTCTCACAACGTCTTGTGCTGAACTGGTCATGGACCTACCTAGAGATGGAAAGCTTAGCTTCTTAATTACAAAGAATATTCAAATGAGCCACTACTGGTGCTGAAAATTTGGCAAAAAAGCGTCCCTGTGATGAGAGTTAATGATTGAAATGGAGACTTCATTCAAGGAAATGAAGAAGTTTAAATAAAGATTAGTTTGAACTTTCAAAGATTCACATATATTTTAGTGACAAGAGCATTTCATACATTAGTTCATGCTTTCAAAATATTTTCTACAGCTAGAAATACTCACTGAAGTATAATCAGTGACTTTGCATCTGTATTTATCATCTTTTCCTTTGTACACAGGCTGCTAACAGAAACAGGATATTAAAGCTGTAGATTTAATTGTTACCAGCTGTAAGTGTTTATTAACGTGTTCATCAACAGACAATATGGTATAACATTGTGTTAATAATGTAAAACACTGTAAGTCTGTGTATAATATAAATGAACATTTTAGTGTAGCAGTGCTGTAGATAAATACAGTGTACTCACAAGGAAAAAACAGTGGTTTACTTTCTATAAATGTGTTGGATAATCCTTTTTCATCTTAGCTGTAAGATTTGCTACTTTGCTAAAAAAGTTTATTAAATGCTTACAGAGATTTGTGTGATAGCAACATGTGCTTATGTAGGACTGTAATGCTTTATTTCATTAATTTTAGCTCAGTGATTTTGGTGCTTTTTCACAAATCCATTTTATTTTGGTCTCACATGGAAGATCGTTCCAGCTCTTGTAGAAGTTTTCTTTGGGACGCAACGCTGCACAGTCCTCATTGTTTTGATCATTTGGTTCTCCATCGTTCCAGTACCTGAAGCAAACGACAAGTTACACTGCATTTCCCTTCACTCAGTCATTGTCGTCATTATTCACCTTTTTTCATGTAATTTATCCTTCAGGAGTAACTGTTAAGTGACCATTTTCTACAAACACAACTGACTGCTGATTTACACACGTTTCACAGTGTGCATTTGTTTAATCAGGATTCCTGCTGACATTTTTTGTTATTTATGTTTTAAATAACATGGTTCTCTTAAAATAAATTGTGTTAACTTAACAGAACTTTTGTACAGTGCTTTGTTGCTTCTATGTCTTTGAAAAGAACTATATATGTTTGTATGTGTGCATTTACATTACACACTACGCTAAATATTGTTATTTAGTGTAGTGTTCAAAGTATCGCAGTGTCCAAAGAGAGAGAAGACGTTTTTGTATGTCGAGTATAGACTAAGCGTGGGATTAAAACAATGTGAAAACATTAAAAAAAAAAATTAAAATACAAATGTTTATGTATCAATCCAATGTATTCTTTCCAACCAATTCAGGGTTGCAGGGAGGATTAGAGCCTATCTCAGCCACCGTAGAGGTTACACCCTGTTAGCTGTAGCAATGTAGATTGTTGTTGTGCTTTGTGCATTGCAT